TTATAACAATTTATTTTGTTAGAATAACAATTTGTGCAATTTTTTGTTCAGTAAAAAAAAAAAAAAAAAAATCAACAATAGTACTTGTTTTACTTTAAAAACAAAATTTAAAAAAATAATAATAATATATTGTATTATATTATAATATAAATAAGGCATATCATAAAGCACATCGTTCCCGGGTTATAAATAAAATTACTTTTGTTAACAAAAAAAAAAAAAAAACTAAGCACAAAATTTTATTTTTATTTGTTTTGTTTGTTCATCATCTGTGCATAAAAATTTTATTATTATTATTTTTTTTTTAGCTTATTATTAAGTTTACAATTAAAGATGGCCTAGTTTAGTTTGTAATCAAAAAGAGAAAAGGGTTTAATACCATATTTGTACTTTTAAAAATTTTTACTTAAAATTATTGTGTTTACCCTTTTAATGTTCTGTTTTAGTTGTGTAAATGTAGTAAAAATTTAGTTTTAGAAAATTCACTAAACAAAAGTAATTTTGTTTGCACAAATTGCTTTCAAATTGATTGAAAGAAGAGGCTTGTGGTGTGGTTACCCAAGACTGAGTTATAAATTTTTTTTTGCCATTATGATCTCAAAATTTTGTTTAAGAGTTTATATTTTTGTTTTTTTTTTTTTTCTTCTCAATTTTTTAGTTGTATAATTCAATTTTTTTAAATACATATGAAAAAAAAAAAGTATTATTTATTTTATTTTTGTATTTAAATAATCATCAACCTACAATAAACACTATCAATATTATTATTTCTATTAATTTTTAAGGAAATGCAAAAAAATTTTTGTTTTATTAATTGTTTAAATTACCGTTATATTATTCATTGGGATAATATTTAAATATCCATTTTCTTTTTTTATTATTTGATTTTCTAATTTTTTAAACTGAAATAATTCTAATTAAAATATAAATGTGTTGTTAATTAATTTTTTTTTTGAAATCGTATTTAATTTCATTAAAAAGGGATTTAAATTGTAAATAAGTATTTAATACCGTAAAGAGTTAAATAAAGTAAAGGGGAAAGTAAATTTCGAATTGTTTATCAATAAAAATTTATAATTAATGTATGAATAATTAATTATTTGAAATCATTAAATTTCCTAAGAAGTTTAAAAAAAAAAAAAAAATTTTTAACGTTAATGTTGGTCATAAACGTCAAAAGTTGGTAGAATTTATTATATTTCTTATGTTGGTACCACAATAACAGTTTTTACAAGTAATCAGTAGTTATCAAAATTTTATTAATAAATATTTAATTTGTGACTATAAGTGTCTATTACCTTATTGATTACGTTAATTTATTAAAATATTTATTTATTTTTATCAATATGGCCATTAATTAATTTTTTATTCCGAAAAAAAAAATGTTTAAGGTTTTAAAAAAATCCAAATTAATTATATTTTAGCATAAATTTTTTTTTTTTTACTGTCATTTTAATTTTGGGTAAGTTTTATAATGGTCATTAAATAATTTATTATTATTAAATGCGTTTTATAAAGTAAAATTAATAATTTTTTAGTTTTTATTTTTTATTTGACAATCAATTTATTTAAATAAATAAATCAATTATTTTTATAAGGAAATAACGGATTATAAATTTTGACTGGTATATTATTTAAAAATAATTTTTTTCACTCATAATTTGTTATAATAATCATCATTTAATAATTATGATATTATTTTTTAGTGGCATTTATAATTTTTAGCAAAATAACCGTTTTATTAGTATTTACTTTGATTGTATAATATATATTAACAAATTTTAAATTTTAATTAAGAGTGTACAATATTTCTTTTTTTTTTTTTTTTTTTTTTTATTAAAAAAGAAGATAATATTACTCTCATAAAAAATTTTTTTTTTTTTTTTTTATTTTAATATTACGTGTTAGAGAGTAAAAAAAAAAATTCTTTCTTATAAGTTTGGAATTTCAAGCATTTAATTTAATAAACCGTGACGGAATTTTTAACGAAATATATATTAAAAATTTTTTTTTCTGGGAGAATAAAACAAAATCATCTCAGTTAAGGGTTAGCAAATAAACATTGATAACGGTTTATAGCTTAAACGTTTTTTGTTTAAAAAAAAAAATTTTTTTTCTTTTTTTTTTTTTTTTTTTCAGATCAAATGAACGATTCCGAATTGTATGAAAAAAACGTTAATAAAGATATTAATTTAGATAATTTATATAAAGCATTAGTGGAATGTTTTTCTGTTATATTGTGTGGGTAAGTACAAATATTATTATTATTATTATTATTATTATTAAACTTTTTCTGTTATTATAAAAATTATGTATTAAATTTTAGGTTTGCAACTGGAAAGTTAAATTTAATTTCTCAAAGAGAAATTAAAGGTTTGGATGTTTTTGTAAGAACATTTTCTTTGCCATGTGTTATTTTTCTTTCATTAGCCCAATTAGATTTTTCATCAATTAATTGGAGTTTCTTAGGAAGTATATTAGTTTCTAAAAGCATTGTTTTTGTCTGTGTCATTATTGTTACTTGTATTTTAAGTAGACCAATTCATTTGGGAAAACTTGGATTATTTGCTGTTTTCTGTACGCAAAGCAATGATTTCGCACTCGGATATCCAATCTGTGAGTTTTTTCTTTTTATTATCTAACTAAAAATTTTTTTTAATAATATTGCACCTTCCAGTGATTTAAACTAAGTAAAAATTACATTTGATTTTAGTAAAAGCACTTTATGACCAAGAAAATCCTAATTATCCCTCTTATGTTTACTTGCTTGCACCTATATCTTTGGCTGTTCTCAATCCGATAGCCTATGTTTTACTTGAAATAGGAAAATTTAATGGAGAAACTAATTCAAACAATGAGTCTAAAAATATTAATGAATCTCCTGTACATGGTAAGCCATTGCCTTTACTATAATTCAAATATAAGATCATAGGGGGAAAAAAAAGGTGATCTGAAATTTTAAATCTAATTAAATTGCTTTGAGAATTTTTTAAACGAATCCCATTTTTAATTTTATTTAGTTAAAGTATTCAAAAATTTATAATAGTTCAAATAACTCTATTTTAAAATTAATATAATTATAAATAATGTAATGGTTATAATAACTTATTTCTTTCAGAATCAGTTAATCTTAGTTTACCAGAAGAAACGAGGAATAGGAATAACGTAGAATCCGATGAAAATACACAATCCAGAAATTATCAGTCTGATACAAAATCAGATTTTAAATTATTTTTTGCAGTCATAGTAAATATATTTACAAACCCGGTTATGTTAATGACCTTTTTGGGAATGTTAGGAAATTTATTTTATACCTATATTGAATTTATAGGTGTTGTTTTAAATGTAAGTATATATGATAAATAAAATTAGTTTACCAAATTTGATTATTTTAAATTATTCATTTATTATTATCATCATCACTATTTAAAAGACACAAATTTTTTAATTATTAAACATAAAATTTAGCTGTTAAATCTCAGATTATTTCTTTTTTGAAAATTTTCTTAAAAGCATTTACTTCATTTTATTTTTTTAGGCTTTTGCTTCAGTTTTTTCGACTACTGCTTTATTTGTTCTCGGCTTGAGAATGGTTGCTAACACTCATAAATTGAAAGGAAATGCATTAGTCACATCTGGTATTTTAATCATTACAAAATTGTGAGTTTTTTTTTTTTTTTTTTTTGGTTTCATATTAATTTTTTTACTTTTTATTCTTTTCGGTAATTGCCAGTTAAAGAATTTCAAATCATTTTTCAAAATAATAATATTATCATAATGTAAGAATACATTTCATTTTTAGATTAGTTTTGCCTTTAGTAACTAGAGAAATTGTTAGTTTGCTTCACACTGGTAAAAATGCCACAGAAACTCTTAATTTAAGTACTTTTGGATTCATGTATGGTACATTTCCAACAGCTCCAATGGTATTCGTACTCTCAGCTCAATATGATATTGAAGTTGATAGCGTATGACAATAATATTTTATTGTAAATAGTTGCTTTAATCTCTCTTTAGCTTCTTATAGCGTTGATTTATACCTTTTAGGTTCCAAGTTCCTTAGTAGTTTGTACATTTTTAAGCGCTCCGCTCATGTATATATCAGCTAAAATGATTTTTATGGATTTTTTACCCAATGATGATTATATAGAAAAATTACAATCGTTTGCTTTCAACGTTGGAGTAGTCGGAATTCCTTTTGGTATTTGGCTTATCATTTTATTTATTGCCAATAAATCATTTAGTAAACTTCCTCACAAAATTACAGGATTTTTAATAATTAGTCAGGTGCGTTTATGTAAACGATTTTAATTATTATAAATTATAATATTATTATGTTTAACAATCCGTTGTCAATTCTTAATTATTTTTCTAGATCATTATTTGTATTGGTGTAGCTTTACTGCCGATTCGGGAGTTTTTTAAACCGTGGTCAACTTATATTCAATTTTCTTTTCTCGCATTTGGAATTTACAGTTCAAGGCTCTGGACGTGCTTTTTGGCAATCACGTTGGTTCTTTTACAAAGTCGAAGTTTATGTTTTGTTCTTAAATTAATTCCTGCTCTAAATATTTTAGCATGGGGGTTAGTATTAAAAATTTTTTTTTTTGGACATTTCTCCAGTCTTTTCCCTTTTGAGTTTAATTATTATTAATTTGTGTTTCAGCATTCCTGCAATTTTTGTCATAGCAGAAAATTTTGCTTTTACAAATGGCCATTTCGGATCTCTTACAAATCCCAATTTCTACATAGGGAAATTTCAGTCTGGTGTTACCCTTTTCCTTCTTATCATTTCGTTCATTGGTAAGTAATTGAAAATCTAATATTTAAAGCCTTTTAAATAGGTTTTGACACGTTACTAATGTGATTTTCAGGTACTATAGTAAGCTTGATTCTTCAACATCGTTACCAATTACGATTTGCTAAATATTTTAACTTAATTCAAGAAGTTAATTCCGACGATGTTAAAGAGGAAAGAGAAACTAGCATTGGGGATAATTCTCGTGATACAACTTCCCAGTTATGTAAAGGAAGTTGTTCGAAAACAACCGACATTGAAGAAATACTAAGTGAAAATAATTCAAATCTTTGCAGTGGGTAAATAAAAAAAAATTTTCTTTGTTTTTATATAAATATTTATTTATTTATTTATTATCGTTTATTAATTAAATATTTTTATTTATTTTGAGGGTAGAAGTTGCAAAAAAGAATCTGTATGTCCTTCTGAATTTAATTGTACTCCTGCCGAAAGAGAAATGTGCGAAGAAACAATTAAACAATACAATGCTACCACGTTAAATGAAAACATTGACGAAGATCATGAAGATCGACAAATTTTACGACACATTGTTTTATTATTGCTTCTCATAATGTCCATGTTTGTGGTAAGATTGAAAATTAAAAAATACTTGGTTTATACGACGATATCGGAATACCGGAAATGAGATTTTCACATTTATTTCGTTGTTTTAGAATTTAATGTTGTCGATCTGGACGTTGGTCGTCGAGGATGCTATTTCCGGCGTGTATATAGAACTCCTTTTTTTAAACGTTATACTAAACATAGGACAAGTTTTTATTACGTTTGCCGTTTTTGGTTTCAATTCAAAAATTTTATTTGTATCTATCACAAACAGGTATACGTAAATTTTTTAAAATGAATGTTTAAATATTTAAATCCCGAGTTACATTTTTTTTTTTTTTTTTTTTTAGATGGCGAAAATTTTTCTACGGAGCTGAAAGCATCGTATTAACTCCAGTTACAGAATTAGGTTTTGAAACGACTCACGTTTGTCATCAATTTATTGCACATCATTTACAAAATTGCGAAAAAGAAATAGCTAAACCGAAAAGGTAATCCCCAACAAAATTTTTAATAATATTCATCGATATTTTTAAAATAATAATAATAATAATTTTTTATTTATTTTCAGACTGAAACTTCGATTGTACAAAGCGTGTTTTAAAGGTAAAACATTAGTGTCATGGCTCCAGACGAAACGATTGGCCAAGGACGAGGTCGAAGCTATTCAATATGCTTCTCATTTATTGGAAGGCCGAGTACTCAGACACATTGAAAATCGTCATCATTTCGAAAATTCTGATTTATTATATACTTTTAAATCGTGAATAATGAATTTTAACGAACTATCAACGATTCATTGATTGATTGATTGTTTTTTTTAATTTATTCAAAACAAAAAAGAAGAATTTCACAATAGAGAAAAGATAATAATAATAATAATAATAACAAGAGGTAGTTTTTTTTATAAGCCAGCCATCATTAATTTAGTAAAACTTACATAACATGTAAATTATCATTAGTATTTTCGTCTCGAATAACATATCTTTATTTATATTCTAAAAAAAAACAGCTAAGATTTAATTCGATAGAATATTAATTTTTTTTTTTTTTTTGGCAAATTTTTTAACCGAGTTTTTTCTAAAAATAATCACTTAATAAAAATTTTTTATTAAAAACCAAAGAAATATTTTACACATTTTAAATAGTTTGAGGCAGAAAATTTGTAATTTAATAATTAAAATAAAATTTTATTTATTTATATGTTTATCCGTATTTTAGACGAAATCAAAACAATAAGTTTAACAAAATTATTTATTCGTATTAAATAATCAATTTGTTAAATT